CTAAATGCACATACATCAGTGAACTTCCACTACGGTTTGGGTCCTCTGAAGCCTAGAAGTGGGGAGGGCACATTCCCTATGCCCCACACAGCCTGGGTCCTACAGAGGCATTCCCATCAGCACAGAGCTGTGTCTGCTGCTACAAGCAGCAGAAACAAGGATGACAACCAGCATTAATATTCCTTAGCCAGAGGCCTCAGCATGCAGAAAGTACTATTTTCTGAGTGAAAGTGGGTTGGTTACCTTTCTTTCCAAATGCTTATCCAGCCGGGCCAAGGCCTCTGTCTCCCCTCCTTTCCAAACTGCTGGGGCAAGACAATCCGTGGGGAAACCTGAGAAGAACAAACAGGGTGGTAAGGCTGGAAGCCAACACTATGCAAAGAGCCCAGCAGGGCTCCAGCAGCAACAGTATCAGACTTGAAAAAGACAGCTCCTGAGTTCTCTGAACATTTGGTTTATTGTTGCTGCTCTGGTCCTTCTACAGCAAAGCAAGCATGACTGCTCTGACACCTCAGTACAGAAGCCTGTCCCCAAATTAAGTTCTCCAGTCAGCATTCTTGGGGCACCCCACCATCATTCATACACAGACCCTATCAATGTAGGGTGGTCATCTACTGCAGTGGTCTTCAAACTTTTTGGCTCGCGCACGCCAGGGTAAAGACCGGAAGACCTATCACAGATGCGCCGCCAGAGGGGAACACCAACCGTGGACGTGCAGAGCTACTGATGAAGAAAAAAACGGCGGAGTGTCATCCAGCGGTGCTCCTGCACACCCTTTGGGGGGGTGCGCACACCCCAGTTTGGAGACCACTGATCTACTGCATCCTCCATCAGGCTCAGTATCAATGATAAACCAAACAGCCAGCAGGGGGCATGCTGTATTAATTCAGATGGATTATATGGATCCAAACAGTTGAAGGTGTTGACATAATCATAATTACAAAAGCTAAGGCATAAAATGAGTTAAATCTAGCAAGGATCATAAAATGCAACAAGATGAAGTTCTTTAAATACAGTCAAGAGCAAGAGATAGACCAAGCGTAGGTCCTCTACTTAGCAGGGAAGGAGAGCAAACAATTGCTGACATCAAGAAAGCTGAAGAGTTTAATGCCTATTTTGCTTTAGTCTTCACTAAAAAGAAGAATGGTGAACATATAACTCAACACAATTAATATTAACAACAAGGGGAAAGAAACGTAAGCCAGAATAGGGAAGAACAGGTTAAAGAATATTGAGATAAGTTAGATGCATTCAAGTTGGCAGGACCTGATGAAATTCATCTTGGTACTTAAGGAACTAGCTGAAGCAATCTCAGAACCATTAGCAATTATCTTTCAGAACTCCTGCAGGACGGGTGAGGTCCCAGAAGACTGGAGAAGGGCAAACATAGTTACCTGTCTTTAAAAAGAGGAACAAAGAGGACCTGAGGAATTATAGATCAGTCAGCCAAACTTTGTTACATGGAAAGATACTGGAACAAATTATTAAACAATCAATTTGTAAGCACCTAGAGGATACCACCATTATAAGGAATAGGTAGCATGAAGTTGTCAAGAACAAATCATGCCAAAGCAACCTAATTTCCTTCTTAGACAGGGTTACTTGCTTAGCGGATAGCAGGGAAGCAGCGGATGTGATGTATCTTTATTTTTGTAAGACTTTTAACAGTCCCATGAGATATGGTCATAAACGAAGTAAGGAAATATGGTCTAGATGAAATTACTATAAGGTGGGTTCACAGCTGGTTGAAAGACCATACTCGAAGAGCAGTTATCAGTGCTTCACTGTCAAACTGCAAGAGCATATATAGTGGGATCCCGCAGCAGTCCGTCATTATTCAATGTTTTCATTAATGACTCAGATAATGGAGTGGAGAGTATGCTTATAAAATTTGCAGACACCACCAAGCTGGGAAGGGTTGCAAGCACTTTGGAAGACAGGAGAACTCACAGCAACCCTTTTTTCGCAAACTGGCCTGAAATCAACAAAATGACATTCAATAAAGACAAGTGCAAAGTACTTCACTTAGGTAGGAAAAAATCAAATGCACAAACTGGAAAATAATTGGCTAGGTGGTGGCACTACTGAAAGGATCCTGGGATTATAGTGGATCACAAACTGAATATGAGTCAATGTGATGCTGCCGTAAAAAAGACTAATATCATTGTGGGGTGTAGTAACAGGAGTGCTATATGTAAGACATTGGAAGTAACTTTCCTGCTCTATTTGGCACTGGTTAGGCCTCAGCTGCAGTACTGTGTTCAATTCTGGGTGCCATACTTTAGGAAAGATGTGCACAAACGGGAAAGACTCTAGAAGAGAACGACGAAAAATGATCAGACATATAGAAAACCTGACCTATGAGGAAAGGTTAAGAAACTGGGCACTTTTAGCCTTGAGAAAAGGAGACTGAAAACAGTCTTCATATATGTTAAGGGCTGTTATAAAAGATGACTGTGATCAATTATTCTCCATGTCCACTGAAGGTAGTTCAAGTAGTAAAGGGCTTAATTTGCAGCAAGGGAGATTTCGGTTACATATTAGGAAAAACTTTCTAACTATAAGGGTAATTAAGCTCTGGACTAGGCTTCCAAGGGGGGCTGGGGAATCCTTATCACTGGATGTTTTTAAGAACAGGTTGGACAAACACCTGTCAGGGATAGTCTAGCTTTACTTGGTCCTGCCACAGCACAGAGCGCTGGACTTGACTTCTCAAAGTCCCTTCCAGAGCTACATTTCTATGATTTCATAACCCAGTCACTCTCCAACATTAAAGAATTTTAAACAAGTTTAGGGATTTGTTGTACAGAAACCACACCCTGCTTAGCACCATGGCAAACACACTATTAGAAATCCCTCTAACCTTTTATTAAAGATACAAGAGAAAAAAGGAAAAAACAGTTAAAGCATTTGAAAAGTAAGTATTGAGTAAGGTTTTCATTTTAACATCCCTTGTTCACTTGAGCTGGGGGATTTTCCTTCTAAAAACTCTCCTTGTTTGACAGTGTTTTAGATTGTACTAAAGATGGTAATAACTGTCCTTTTGGGGAGATGGACCAAAGCTGCTGCTGTTAAAGTCAGATCCTGTTTTCTAGAAGACTAAACACAAACTTACACAAAATGAGAGAAAAGAACAGCAAGGATAGAAAATGCAGCTTCTATATCTTATGTTGACTCTTGCACCCTCACTGCCGATAAAAATACAGACACAGCACCCGGTCTTATCAGCCACTCCAAGACCTGGCAAAGTTGTACCAACACTAGGCTGTTTAAGACATTGCATTTAATTGGCTCTTTCTGGTCACAGGCTTACAGCAGCATTACAAAATACAGTCTTCGCTGGCTAAGCCAGACTCTTGTAAGAGAGAAGGATGAAGGAGAGTGATAAGAAAGAGAAGAAAAGGTAGGAAAGGAAAAGGACAGATGGGGGAATGTGGTGGAGACAAAGTCTCACATCCCGGGTGGTGTTTGGGATTCAGCTGGAGGAAATGGCTGTGTCATCTCGGTCCCTCCCTCATCAGGACATCTCTCAGGATCACGATGCCCAGGTGGGAGTAGCAGCCATGATGATGAAACACGCTCCAGTAGCCAATTTTCCTTCCCAAAGTCTCATTCTTTAGGAACCCAAAAAGGAGTGATGGGTGGAACAGCCTACCCCCTCATTGTTTAGTCCACCAGTTAGGTCCAATAGCCAATATACCAATTTTGGATTATTAGTTTTCTGGTTCCACACTTTTCTTGTGAGTTGTATCAGTAGGCCTTTTTGTTTGGACTAATTCAGTCTGTCTCGCTTTTGCACCTTTTCCGACCACCATTTGTTGTTATATGTTAGCGTGACATCTTATGAACTTACACTCACACTTTTTACAGTTGAGCTCACAATTAGGGTAAATCTGGGAGGCCCAATTATTACAACAGGCACCTCTGCCTTATCAGATTTGCTAATCTAGGAAATATCTTCCAGCCAACCCAGAAGTATCCCATCACATAGCCAGCAAATCAAGGGAGACTCTTAGTTTCTCAATCTAGTACTAGTGAAGATACAGGACTAAACAGCACTGAGCACCTACGTCATATTAATCCCCAGAACAAATACAATATGGGCAGCAGCAATGCAGTTTTCCTATGCAGCTCCCTGTTTACAAAACCATTGCGGAGTTCAGATTCAGATCAAAAATGAAGAATGTGACTATCCTCAAGAGCCAAATCCCCCATTATTTTCATATATAAGGGCTTCTGCCGAGTCCTACGAACTTTTCACACAGCCCTCCCCGTCCCAGCCTACGTAGGCAGCGTCCCACAGTACCCAGATACTACTAGAAGGCTGACAGCTGCACTGTTATCTACATATAAACAATACTCCTAACATAATCAATAACCTTGCCCTTTGCTTACGTTTAGGTTCAGATCCTTGATCTGGGGTGGGGATTTGTGCATCACCCTCTGCCTTGAGCATTCTTTTTTGAGTAGAGCCATCAGCAGCTGATGAGACTGAAGCGGACAAGCATGGAACTGTGAAGCTGGCAGAACAGGTGGCAGCTCATGCCAAGACCACTAGGCCTCACTGAGCACTGACAAATTCATAGCTAGAAACCAGCCTGGCTTATCTGAGCGTTAGCATTGTTAAAATAGATGTTAAGTTTATAAGAATGCGTTTAGTGGTTAGACTTGATGAAATGTTTATAGGATGCTGCATGTACTGATCTGACTTACAACATCTGTACCTCTCAGTATAAAGTTATATTGAGTGTTTTCATTGTAAACCTCTTGCTGTGTAACACAAGAAACAGGAAAGAAGCATTAAATAAATGTAAGTGCTGGGCCTGCATTGAAACCAAATGAACCATTTGAAACAAAGGACAAAAGACTTTCTTCCCACCACAACCCCAAACGATGAAGAGGAGATGGCACAAACAGTCCCATCAGTTTGGGCTCTGAGGGAAGAGAATACAAATCCCTGACCAGAAGGAACTGGATCATTATGCTGCTTGGAATTTGGAGAGGGAACTATTTCTAAGCATAAGCAAGGGATCCCTAAGCTGCTAGGCTTGGGTTAGCTTTAGAGGACATAAAAGCTTGCATATCATAACATTTTCTATCACCTTTTGGAATCTAAGCCCCGGTCTACACTAGGAGTTGGTCGAATTCAGTAGCATTAAATTGATTTAACCCTGCACCCGTCCACCCAACAAAGCCCTTTTTTTCGACTTAAAGGGCTCTTAAAATCGATTTCATTACTCCACCCCCGACAAGGGGATTAGCGCTGAAATCGGCCTTGCTGGGTTGAATTTGGGGTACTGTGGACACAATTAGACAGTATTGGCCTCCGGGAGCTATCCCACAGTGCTCCATTGTGACCGCTCTGGACAGCACTCTCAACTCAGATGCACTGGCCAGGTAGACAGGAAAAGGCCCGCGAACTTTTGAATTTCAATTTCCTGTTTGGCCAGCGTGGCAAGCTTCAGGTGACCATGCAGAGCTCATCAGCAGAGGTGACCATGATGGAGTCCCAGAATCGCAAAAGAGCTCCAGCATGGACCGAACGGGAGGTACGGGATCTGATCGCTGTATGGGGAGAGGAATCCATGCTATCAGAACTACATTCCAGTTTTCGAAATGCCAAAACATTTGTCAAAATCTCCCAGGGCATGAAGGACAGAGGCCATAACAGGAACCCGAAGCAGTGCCGCGTGAAACTTAAGGAGCTGAGGCAAGCCTACCAGAAAACCAGAGAGGCGAACAGCCGCTCCGGGTCAGAGCCCAAAACATGCTGCTTCTATGATGAAGAGCTTCATGCCATTTTAGGGGGTTCAGCTACCACTACCCCAGCCGTGTTGTTTGACTCCAATGGAGATGGAAGCAACACAGAAGCAGCTTTTGGGGACGAGGAAGATGATGAGGTTGTAGATAGCTCACAGAAAGCAAGCGGAGAAACTGGTTTTCCCGACAGCCAGGAACTGTTTCTCACCCTGGACCTGGAGCCAGTACCCCCCGAACCCACCCAAGGCTGCCTCCCGGACCCGCCGGGTGGAGAAGGGACCTCTGGTGAGTGTACCTTTTAAAATACTATACATGGTTTAAAAGCAAGCATGTTTAATGATTAATTTGCCCTGGCATCGCGGCTCTCCTGGATATACTCCCAAAGCCTTTGCAAAAGGTTTCTGGGGAGGGCAGCCTTATTCCATTCACCATGGTAGGACACTTTACCACTCCAGGCCAGTAGCACATACTCGGGAATCATTGTAGAACAAAGCATTGCAGTGTAGGTTTGCTGGCGTTCAAACAACATCCCTTCTTTATCTCTCTGTGTTATCCTCAGGAGAGTGATATCATTCATGGTCACCTGGTTGAAATAGGGTGCTTTTCTTAAGGGAACATTCAGAGGTGTCCGTTCCTGCTGGGCTGTTTGCCTGTGGCTGAACAGAAATGTTCCCCGCTGTTAGCCATGGGGAGGGGGAAGGGTGGAGGGGCTAGCCACACGCTGGGGGGAGGCAAAATGTGACCTTGGAACAAAAACATGTACTATGCATGTAATGTTAACAAGGTTTACTGTGAAAGAGTGTACACATTGTTCTAGAAAATGCATCTTTTTAAATACCACTGTCCCTTTTTTTCCCCCCTCCACCAGCTGCATGTGTTTCAAGGATCACAGGATCTTCTCCTTTCCAGAGGCTAGCGAAGATTAGAAGGTGGAAAAAACGCACTCACGCTGAAATGTTCTTTGAGCTCATGCTGTCCTCCCACACTGACAGAGCAGACACGAATGCGTGGAAGCAGACAATGTCAGAGTGCAGGAAAGCACAAAATGACCGGGAGAAGAGGTGGCGGGCTGAAGAGAGGGCTGAAGCTGAAAGATGGTGGCAGCATGATGAGAGGAGGCAGGATTCAATGCTGAGGCTGCTGGAGGATCAAACTAATATGCTCCAGCGTATGGTTGAGCTGCAGGAAAGGCAGCTGGAGCGCAGACCGCCGCTACAGCCCCTGTGTAACCAACCGCCCTCCTCCCCAAGTTCCATAGCCTCCTCACCCAGACGCTCAAGAACACAGTGGGGGGGGGGCCTCCGGCCACCCAGCCACTGCACCCCAGAGGATTGTCCAAGCAACAGAAGGCTGGCATTCAATAAGTTTTAAACTTTTAAAGTGCTGTGTGGCCTTGTCCTTCCCTCCTCCACCACCTCTCCTGGGCTACCTTGGTAGTTATCCCCCTATTTGTGTGATGAATTAATAAAGAATGCATGAATGTGAAGCAACAATGACTTTATCGCCTCTGCAAGCGGTGATTGAAGGGAGGTGGGGAGGGTGGTTAGCTTACATGGAAGTAGAGCGAATCAAGGGGTGGTGGGGTTTCATCAAGGAGAAACAAACAGAACTTTCACAGTGTAGCCTGGCCAGTCATGAAACTGGTTTTCAAAGCTTTTCTGATGCGCACCGCGCCCCTGACCTCTGTGCTCTTCTAACCGCCCTGGTGTCTGGCTGTGCGTAACCAGCAGCCAGGCGATTTGCCTCAACCTTCCACCCACCATAAACGTCTCCCCCTTACTCTCACAGATATTGTGGAACGCACAGCAAGCAGTAATAACAGTGGGAATATTGGTTTCTCTTAGGTCTAACCGAGTCGGTAAACTGCGCCAGCGCACTTTTAAATGTCCAAATGCACATTCTACCACCATTCTGCACTTGCTCAGCCTGTAGTTGAACAGCTCCTGACTACTGTCCAGGCTGTCTGTGTTTGGCTTCATGAGCCATGGCATTAAGGGGTAGGCTGGGTCCCCAAGGATAATTATAGGCATTTCAACGTCCCCAATTGTTATTTTCTGGTCTGGGAAGAAAGTCCCTTCCTGCAGCTTTTGAAACAGACCAGAGCGTCATGTACCTTTCCCAGCCATCCCACGTTGATGTTGGTGAAACGTCCCTTGTGATCCACCAGTGCTTGCAGCACTATTGAAAAGTACCCCTTGCGGTTTATGTACTCGCCGGCTTGGTGCTCCAGTGCCAAGATAAGGTATGGGTTCTGTCTATGGCCCCACCACAGTTAGGGAATCCCATTGCAGCAAAGCCATCCACTATGACCTGCACATTTCCCAGGGTCACTACCCTTGATATCAGCAGATCTTTGATTGGGTTGGCTACTTGCATCACAGCAGCCCCACAGCAGATTTGCCCTCTCCAAATTGATTCCTGACTGACCGGTAGCTGTCTGGCATTGCAAGCTTCCACAGGGCTATTGCCACTCGCTTCTCAACTGTGAGGGCTGCTCTCATCTTCGTATTCTTGCACCTCAGGGCAGGGGAAAGCAAGTCACAAAGTTCCATGAAAGTACCCTTAAGCATGCGAAAGTTTCGCAGCCGCTGGGAATTGTCTCAGACCTGCAACACTATGCGGTCCCACCAGTCTGTGCTTGTTTCCCGGGCACAGAATCAGCGTTCCACCGCATGAACCTATCCCATTAGCACCATGATGCCTGCATTGCCAGGACCCGTGCTTTGAGAGAAGTCTGTGTCCATGTCCTCATCACCGCGCTGACATTGCCTACTCGCCCAGTTTCGCTTTGCCAGGTTCTGGTGCTGCATATACTGCTGGATAATGCATGTGGTGTTTAATGTGCTCCTAACTGCCAAAGTGATCTGAGCGGGCTCCATGCTTGCCGTGGTATGGCGTCTGTACAGAAAAAAGGTGCGGAACAATTGTCTGTCATTGCCTTGACAGAGGAAGGGGCGACTGACGACATGGCTTACAGGGTTGGCTTACAGAGAATTAAAATCAATAAATGGGGTGGCTTTGCGAGAAACAGAATGGCCCCCTCAAGGATAGAACTCAAAACTGGGTTTAGCAGGCCGTTGATTTCACGGAGGAAGGGAGGAGAAAACGAATACAAAACAAATCTGGTCTATTTCTTGTTTTGAGACACTTCATCTATCTTTATAGATGTTGCTGGCAGCAGTCCGTGCAGTACGACTGCTAGCCATTGTCATCTCCTGGGTGCTCGACAGAAGACGGTGCAGTATGACTGCTGGCCATCATCTTCTGCTGGCTGCTGATTAAAAGACAGTGCACTGCCGGTAGAACTCAATCGCCATGAGACGAAACTTAAAAGGGAAATGACCTGGCTGAGTCACTCCCATGTTTGCCCAGGTGCCCCTGACCTCATCGAGGTCGGTTAAAAGAGCACCCAGGACTATGTCTATGACGGCTACCAGTCATACTGCACTGTCTGCTGCCAAAGGCAATAAACTGCTGCTGTGTAGCAATGCAGTACCGCGTCTGCCAGCACCCAGGAGACATACGGTGACGGTTAGCTGAGCGGGCTCCATGCTTGCCATGGTATGGCATCTGCACAGGTAACTCAAGAAAAAAGGTGCAAAATGATTGTCTGCCCTTGCTTTCAAGGAAGGAGGGAGGGAAGGAGGGCCTGATGATATGTACCCAGAACCACCCGCGACAATGTTTTAGCCCCATCAGGCACTGGGATTTCTACCCAGAATTCAAATGGGTGGCGGAGACTGCGGGAACCATGGGATAGCTACCCACAGTGCAACGCTCCTGAAGTTGACGGTTGCCTCGGTACTGTGGACACACTGCCGACTACATGCACTTACAGCATTTGTGTGGGGACACACAATCGACTGTATAAAAACGCTTTCTACAAAACCAACTTCTATAAATTTCAACTTAATTTCGTAGTGTAGACATACCCAAAGACTAACTCAGTGATACTCTGACATCAGTGGTTCAGGAGCCAAATTTGAGATTAACATTATGCAAAAGAGCCACAGTAGTGTGAATTCATTATTTACTATATATTAAAAATTATTCTCACAGCAAAATGACTGACTAAGTATTATTTTGTCAATTACAATTGATTAACATAATAAAAGCACCCTGATTGGTTGTTAATTAAATCAGTGTTTTAATACCATGTGCTGCAAAGAGCCACTTGCGACTCCTGAGCCTCAGTCTCACTGCTGGAACTCATGTGTGTATAGGTTTACCTACTTTAACTGTGTAAATAACCCATTCCTTTTTCTTAGTTAATAAATTATAGGATTGGCTACAAGTGTTGTCATCGGTGTGAGATCTAAGATGTAACTGACCTGAGAAAAGCGACTGGACCTTTAGGCTTGGGAGTAACTTGAATACTGTTGTGATTTTTCGTGTAAAGGATCATCTATGACAAAGGCAAGTTTGCCTGGGTGGCAGGATAGATAGTACCTAAGAGGACTGTCTTACTTCATGGTTAAGTTGGTTAAGCTATAATGCTTGAGGAGATCACACTTGTTGCTTGGCTGGTGAAATTTAAGTACAGAACTCTCAACCTATTTGAGTGAGTGCGCCCTGCTTCTTGAAAGTCTGTCCTGAGGTTGGCACGCATGCTTGTGAACTACTCCAGATGGTCTGACAGGAACGATTCATACATATTCTCTCCCTCCCCTCTCTACCATCAATTTCCCTCCTCCAAATCAAATCCAAGCACTTACACAGCTTGGAAGCAAACACTGATTCCCTCAACACCAATGGGTACCTAAGGGTGAATGGTAGCAGTTTTAACAAAAACTTTTGTCTCTGTGAGTCTCCAAATTAATCCTTTTTAGTCACAGAGAAGCAAGTGTAATAGTCTCAGCTTATCATGATTAACACTCCCGGATCCGTCACAAGCAGCCTGTCAGGGACCAGAATAGCAGAGGATGCAGTGGGTCAGGACTGAGCAGCACTGTGAGGGCCCCAGGGCTGAAAAAGCAGGCAAAGGATTGCAGCTCACACCTGAGAGGTATCAACGAAGATGTGGGAAGGAAGGAGGGGAGTTTGCACTTAGAATCAAGCATAACACAGACAGATGGACAATCAGTGGCTCATTTTCCCAAATTCCATGACTCACTGAGTGTACTGCTCCCAAGGCTGTAGCCTGCCCAGATCAGATGAAAACAGTGAAACCATTTTGGAAGCATTCCTGCTGGCAGAAACATTCTAATAGAGTGTGTTTGGTTGGCAGTTAAGCCCCCTCAGCCCTAGACACATACCCAGCTCCTCCAGAGATGGGACTCCATACGTGTCGTCATGATTCTCCTGGATCTCTGATTTGCATTTCTCCATCTGCTGGCTTGTTATGCTGTTCACTGGCTTCTTGGGAAATTCCATGCGGCTAATGATCGTCTGGAAACGCTTGTATGTGAGAGGTGGTTTGTGGCCATTCAGCTCGATTATTCTAGACACACAGGCCCAGGAGACAAGAGTTGGAAAACAGCTTTATTCTCATGGGAGAAGTGGGGGAAGACCACTCAAGCACTAGCCCCCTTGGACTCAGGGACATTCTTTTCTCTGGATAGAGAAATCCCAGACAGATTCACCCTCCTCCATTTGGATCTGTCCCCTCAGCGAGGTATTAAAGAAACTCCAGGCTAACCCCATTTCCAGGAAAAGACATCTCAGCCTACACCAGTCCCCACGCCATGGCCTGCTCCCAGAAAAACCCAAGCCTGAAACAATCTGTGCCCCCACCCAAAGTGAGATACCCAACCTACAACAGTCACCCTCTTTTCTATTGCTCCCCCAGATGAAAAATACTAGTTTATTTGTCCCACCCCGCACTCTCTAGATCAGCAAAATCCAAGTTTCCATTATTTCATGTGCTCCCCACCCATCTTTGAGAAATCCCAGCCTGCATCTAGCCCCCACCCTGCACTAGACAAATCCCAGCCTGTGCTTGTTCCTGTTTCCTCCACACTAAAAAACAAAAAAACAAACCTCAGTCCATCTGTCACTCTCCCCTCCTCTACCCCCTCAGAGGAAAGAAAGCCCAGTGTGCCTCACTCCTCTCCTGGGAGTAGAAAAATCCCCATCCCTCCCCCACCCCACCTGATCACAAGCAATTCTGTCACATACTCAGTATGTCATTTACTTTTTAGTGTTCTAACTCATTTCAGCTCAAACCAAGAGCACAGGCGGCAAGGTAGCCACAGCTCCCTTCTACCTTCCTAAGTGCCCACAGCCTGCCCAAGTCTCTACTGGGGAATAAAATGTGATGCTTCCCAGAACAGGTGTCTCCCTCCCCAGAGCTAAAAAGAATTTGGAGAAGACCGCTTGGCAGAGTCTCCATGAGTAGAAACAGGGGCATTTTTCCTCACCACTGTCCCCAGCATACTGCCAGGAGCAGAAGAGTTAACAGGAAAACAGGGAGAGCTTACAGTGCCAGGTTTATGTAAAGCTGAAACAGCCGAGCCAGCACTCCTACAAGAGCACTTGCAGAAGCTCCACCCCTCCCCATCCCGATAGTCAACACCTTATGCAAGGACTGAGCTTGGAGCCTTGTGTTTCAGGAAATGCCATGTGCCTCCCTTCCTCCCCATCAGCTGCACGTGTAGAGGGGAGGAGCTCCATGCTCGCCTGGGGCCTTCACAGAGCAGCTGGTCACATGTGATACTGCGTGATAGGTCTTCCCAGCTCTATACAACAGCCAGAAGGAAGGAGGCTGCTCTCTAACAAATCTATCATAGCTGCTGCTGCTGCTCAGATCTAGGTCATAAATGCCAGGACCTCTCGTGCATACTGGGAGGGACAGGGAGCCTTTTAAAGACAGAGCATGGTCATGTTAAAGAAAGATTTTCAACAGAGACTCCCACCACATTCCTTCAT